ATATTTGAGAGTGATTGCAGTACTTCTGATAAAAGCACCATTTGATAATGCAGGCCCACACTGCACTCTGATATATCTACTCTCATTCATTATTTATGCCGTGGTCATTTTTAGTCCCTTCCTTTTAACAAATAAAATAGTAATAATAGAATACATTACCCTTAACCACAAGGCTGTATTTAAATGGCATTTGAAATCTCCTTTTGCTGAAACAGGTAGACCACATGCCCAAAGGATTACTTTATCTGAGTGAGGGGGTGGTATGTATACATATTTTAATATGTGTGTGACTGTGTGGGGCTGTAAGCATATACTGTATGTACACACTGCTTTCTGTATGACATGCACGTCCAATACGCACTCTGTTAAGGTAAGCAGAATATGTGGTGTGTGTGTGTGTGTGTGTGTGTGTGTGTGTGTGTGTGTGTGTGTGTGTGTGTGTGTGTGTTTTGTAGGTGTGTTTTGATGGGACTTGGGGCCTAGTAATGACAACTCTTTTCTTTTATGTCCTATCTGCCATCATCCCTCCCACCTCTGTGGTCAGACACTCTCCAGGGCAAGAGTTACGGCAGTGGAGAAATACTGAGCAATTTCCTCTGACAACCATCCATATCAACCTGTACTAATGTCTCTCCTCTTCCCTTCTCTTCTCTTCTCTTCTCTTCTCTTCTCTTCTACCCTCTCCCAATTAGTCAAAAAGTCAAAAAGACACTGAAGAAGCTAATGACTTAGACTGTATTAAAGTGAAAAAAAAACTCCCCCAACATTTCTCAGCTGACGTCTCAATAGCTTAAAAAAGTTGGAATTACACTTTAAATACATCAGGTTTAAGCCTATATGCGACAAAGAATTCAGCAAAGAAAACAGAAAGTTTGCTACCATTGGTCATCATAACCTGCTGGTCATACCAGACCAAGTAAGGCTGTAGTGGCAAAACACTTGAGAGTACTGATTGAGAAATTGTGCATTTTATTGCTTATAAATGCAAATTTGAATGAGGGTGTATTTGTTTTTTCTACCAAAGTTACATAGTTTCCTACTAGGAGAGCGTTGTTTAAGGTCATGTTTGCTTTGATTGACAGGATGGTGTCTCTGTCGATTACACTTTCCCGTAGTGATTACTGCTTACTCCATCCACCTCAGCTAAAGATACACAGCTGTGCAGGAATTTGGATTTCCTGACCCCAACACTTGACTAAGTTACTGTAAGACTAAAATAAGTCTATTTACTGCATGTGTTTCTGTGTTTATATAATAGCTCCATAAAGCAAACACTTTTGACCAGCAAAATAGTAGATCTGGCACATCTTATGGCTCTCTAATAAACACCTGACACTGTGTTCTCACTAAGTTGCTATAACTAGCAAAATATAGCTGTAACTATAGATTGCACTCCCTTGTTTATTTTTACTTGTGTCTACACATACGAAGGGGAAAAAATAGACACATGTACATGCGATCGATGAGTCATTATACCCAAGAGGATGTTCTTCGCTATTTCAAGTGATTTCAGTGATGTCAGTGGCACCTCGTATTCTGCATTACCATTGTATCCATACAGCCATACTTATTACTTTAGATTTGTCTTCAGCACCTCAGATCTACTTAAATCGTACATTTTCCTTTCATAGTCTTTCCCCACCTTCCTGTCTCTCTATGAAAGAACCTGACAGCTGTGGGACACTATCGTTTATCTAGAAATGTGGCACTAAGTAATTTATAGTTTGAAAGATTGTGTGAATTGGGTTTTATAACAAAAAAGGGTTTTAAACCCCCTCTTTTACGTTGTCTTATGTTACTCTTATGATTGTTGGAGCATGTGATGCAAGACAAATACCCATGTGAATTGACATTAAAGTGTAATGGAATTTGTGGGTGGCAATAGATGATGGCCTCTGGATTATTTGTGACATTTTCTCAGAACTAAAGGAAACCTCGTTGGGCATTGTGACAAACCCTGCCTGTGGACACATTACCATAACCACACATGCAAAACAAATCTTTGGTTAGCTCCAGTGCATTTTGATTCTGTATAGAACTGTAGACATATGAACAGAAATATTCAGACATATGAACTAAAGGTCATCACTGACTGATGCTACCGCCCTGCTGATCGACATCTAAATCTAGAGTCCTGGTCTCTTCCTGTCAGCATTACTTAAAACAGCTGCATTATCCCAGAGGCTCCCTAAGGGCCACCTTTTTACTGCAAATACAATAGAACAGGGAGATTTTATCGCAAGTCATATCTGAATTAATGCATTTCAAAGTGTGGAAAAAATGAAATTGCTGTTCCCCTATTGTGCTTTTTTTATCTGTATGTCTTACTTTCACTCTCTCTCTCCACATCTAATGTTTTCATCAGGCCCACTGTTCTTTGTCTCTTCTGACTGAGTCTCTCCTCTCCTCTGTTCCCTCTCTCTTCTAAGTAACCTGCTCATCTCTCAGTCTGTCTGCAGCAGTCTCTGCAGCAGTGCTACGGTATGTCAGAGTATGCTAATGAGGTGGCAGCATATGGCTCATTCCTTATTTAAGCACAGCCGTCAACCAGACAGTAAGCCACTCAACTCACCAAGCATCCCGTCTCCCTACCTGCCCCTGTTGGATCGCACAACACTGATCTCTTAATGAGGCTCAAGCGTTATCACAATCAGCTCAACACACTAGGCAGGATAAGTAACTGCTACATTATCACTTCAATCTGAGCTGCTATGTAAATCCTTTTATAGAGTAACATGTAAAGAACCCTTACTTAACACTTGTGCATTGTATGAAAAGCGAGGGAAACTGACAAGCTATTTCTGTGTTAACACTTTGGCACAAACACTAATTCATGCATAGGCATGCGCACACACACAGACACACACGCACACACAAATACACAAAAAAACACATGCGCATTTTCCCACTGACAGGCTGGTATGTAGCTTTATTCCATCATGCTGTGCTAAGCACTCTGTCACTCTGACAGTCTCGTTTTATTTGATGATAGAAGGGTACGACCTTGCCTATCTCACACTGTTAGTCACAGATTCACAAGTGCACACACACAATTCACTGTCATGCCAATGAAACAGTGACTTGAGTTGAAGTTTGATATGTGCTGTACTGTATAGGTTAGTAGTTCAATATAAAGCAGACAGATGAGACAATTTAGCCAGTATTACTATTATTACTGTAGAGGCATTAATGGTGCAGCAGTGTTAACAGTTCAGACCAGCAGAAATCACAGACAAATACTGTGCAGCCAAAGATTGCCAGCAAAGCTGTTTACAGGTTTGAGAAATCATTTAAATAGAAAGTATAGACATTTTTACACCTTTTTAACATTTTCACACATTCAAGGGAGAACGCCTTAACATGTCCTCTTACTTAGAACTTCTGAGATATTCATCAACAAGACAGTATCACACCCACAAGCTGAAAGGAGATAGCAGATGTTGATTTTGTAACTAAATGCAGTTGATGTATTTAATTCCTGAAAACGTGGAAACATTTTCATGCAGCTTGAAAAATTGGTATGGTATGAAAGAAGTAGAATTATTTCCATAATGGTATTTGCAAATCAGCCCCTGAATAGTTTTGGACATATCAGCCCCTAGGTGCTTTACTGAAATGTGTCACAACCTGTAGAAAAAAGAGTTGTGATGGATGTAGCTTAAATTTCAAACTCTCTAAGTGTTACAAGGCCTTAGTTCTCTATTAAGAACTGCTCCGCTTTCCCTGAGGACTGCTACAGTACACTTCAGAACAAAGGAAAATAAATGGCTCTAACCAGTAAGATGGTGTGTGCGTGTGTGTGTACTCGCAGTAAAATACATCTAAACCAGACTTCCAAATATAACTTCAAACAGCTCCGTGTCAATGTTTGTTCACCTCGCTGTCTCTCATTCCCAAAAGACAGAGCGCTTCCAGTATACAGTCTCACTTAAACAACTATGTTTACTTTCAAGGCCAGACAACTGACAGATGTTTGATCAAGGAAAAAAACCACACACTTAAATAAACTAAAGTATCTTTTTCCATGTTACCATTTTAGAATCCTCTTAAAATATTATTATACAAAGACAAGAATGCAAGATTTATAAAACCCAAACATAAACAGGTCGGACATTCGCCAGCTGTAATGGAAACAGTTTATTTTTTCTGAGTTTGAAGCACAATGACAACTTGGTTTGCACATAAAATATGGAAGCTGTATCTTTATGAACTGGCTGTTCACGTCGCCTTGCCTATACAGTACTGTAATTCACCCCATCTTTATATCAGGAAAAACATCTCAGCATCAGCACATATATTAGATTTATGATCAGTTGTCACAGTAACAGCTTACACTTGGTTTTGAATCTCTACCATCCTGATTATGACGCCATTTACTTAGCCTACTAAACAAAAAATGTCAACATGATTCATTGGATGTATTTCAGTTTTTCTTGTGTCTCTCAGTGTTTTGTTTTATTGCCTTTCTTTGTCTTGCTCGTCTTTATTCATTTGTCTTTCAACACTCTACCTGTTGACATTCTCACTTAAGATATGACTAATTGATATGCTGCATTCTAGATTAAAAACAAACCATAAAAAAATAATGGACTTGGATGTCTTCAAACAGGTCCACATGAAACTTAACATCTCGCTCCTCAGCGATAAAACTTTGATGAGACCTGTTCAGATTGATCCATGAGATTCCTAAGGCAGTACAACTGTAATCACAGCAGGTGCCCAGAAAAACAGTATTAAACCTCATGTACTGGATAACTCTGATTTGAATGGAACTGATGGAACTCAGTGAATCTTTCTTATTCTTATTTTGTTATTTGTAAAAGCACACATATAGAAAAGGCCTTCAGTTCCCTTCAGTTTCCCTCCTTTCATTTTCATCTTGATTGTAGATGTAGTGACTGAATGAGTGCTTTTATTTTCAGTAGATAGATACACATACAGCTTAAGAGCTTTGTGAGTGTGTCAACTGTAAAACGCGTGTGTGTTTTCCTCTGACTCACCGTCCATCCTCCTCCGTCTGTGGTCATGTCACAGTAGACCTGGAAGCCTGCGGGGTGGTGAACAGGAAACACAGAATAGATGCCATCCTCTCGCTGTCCACTGGCATACAGATCACCGCAGTCACGGGGACGTGAGCCTAGGGAGAGGTGAAAGTAGGGAGACATGAAATAAATGAGGTCCAATATGACTTGGAAAGGGGAAGAATGCTTGGAGCAGGAAAGTAGAATCAGTAATAAAGAGAAGATGAGGAAAACACAAGATAACACTTGTCACACTCTGTCTACAGCCAGGCACTAGAGAGGCACATAAGTACAGTAAACATGAACAGTTCTGTTTCTATGTTGCAAGGTTATCCTGTCCAAATGAAATCTCAAAGTGTTAGTTTACCCAGTTTTCTTAACTATTTTCCAAAAGGATGGCTCTTGAAAAAGATAGAAAGAGCAATGAGGAGAATGGCTTTGTTGAGAGGGAACACACAACAAAAGATAGATGATGAGATGGATGGGCGGGTGATAGATGACACAGCGGGACAAGGGAGTCTAAGTGCGGCGAAGTTCCAAAAGTGAAAAAAGGCAAGTAGGTCGAAATGAAGACAGAAAGGCGCAAGGGTGGAGCGCTGACATGATACCACAGAGAAGAAGCAGATATACAGCACAGAGACATAGATTTCAGATAACACAAGTAGTAGGAAAAAGGAGAAAGCAAAAAGTCAGAGGGGAAGAAATATGGCTTGGTGATGAGGTGTATAAATTTGAGTGAAACAACACAGATAAAGAGACAGAAAGAGTGGATAGCCAATATAACAAGACAGACAGAGAGAGAATTCAGGAAAAGTTAGTGCGGAGAAGAGGAGAAAGAGACAGAGAGCTTGTAAGATACAGCAGAGCAGAACAGTGGCACCCTTGTCTGTGACTGAGAAACCCGTCTTACACAAGGGATACAAAATCTATTCCCCAGGAAGCAGGAGAGGAACTCTGTGATGAGGACAATGTCATAGATTATGCATGTCAGCCTCCACCGGGTCAAAACCCCTGAATTTAAAACAGGCTAGAGAGTTCTTGAAAAGGCCATTCAAGATTTTTACAGTCCCTACACGATATGGAATGTTTGATCTCCCCAAAGCTTTTCCGTTTCTCCTTGTAAGCCTCGACTACTAAGCTACGACTTTCATCATCCTCACACATAAATGGTAGCATTTCCCAGCTCTTCTTTTCATTACAGGAAACCGAAGCTGTCTAAGTTCCATGGGACATTAAAAAAAGAGACCATCATCATTATTTAAGAATTTGGTCCTCTATAACAAGGGCTTTCAAAGTTTTTCAGTTTAATGATCCCTTACAGCAGAGAAATTTTTCTTCCAAGGACCTCCTCTCATGATTGCACTAATACTTAAGGTCCACTTTAACTTGGCGTGTGTTAGGGCTTTGTTTGCACAAAATTTACCACAGATTCAGATTTTTGGTCCTAATTGGTACACATTTTTTTTTACATACCAAACCTTTCCATTTCAGCGAGCCATTGCCAGATCTTAACTGATATGTTTTGCATCACGAAAAAATTGCAATCTGATTGCTACAACATGTAACCTAGCTATATGATTATATTATGTGTCACAAAAAGGCCTGTCATGTCTAAAAAAAAAGGTCTTAATTACTTGCATCATTTTTGTTGTCACTGTGCCAGTCATTAATTCTTCCTGTCATTTCAGAGCCTGCAATTCCCTCCCTGCTCTGCAGTAGGTATTAGTTCTCAGAGTCATCAGTGTTTGCAGCCTTCAGTCATCATCCGATTCCCACACTCACCAGGGCACCCGTTCCCAATCCCCTAATCAGCTCTCCAACATATATACCAGCCACTTTCCCACAGTTACCTGCCAGATTGTCTGTTGTGCATTGTTATCTCTTCCTGGATTCATTATATGAATAGTGGCATTCAATCCACATGCCTTTGCATTTTCACTTAGGTATTAATAAGAATTATGATTATCTAATATTTTCTGCCCATATTGTGATCTAATCAGTATGCAAATGAGTTAGACAGGGCTGGTAGACAAACATGGCGTGTCAATGGAAGCAATGCCATGGATGAGCATCATTAAGTTTAAAATCACATTGTGATTCACAATCAAAAAAGGAGCCAGACCACTTTCAGCTGTGGTCTGGAGGATTTGATGTGTTCTATGTGCATACACACATAGTTTTAACATTTTTACTTTTTCAGATAGGATATTTGGGAGATTGCAAATTCCTTTCCAAGTTTTTGCCTGCCTACCTGGCCCCTCTTGCTTTGTTTGCCTGTTTCGACTAATCAATGATTGACCAACCCTGCTTTGAATTACTGACCAGGTAAACTACTGCCTGCTTCAGAGCCCTGTCTTTCAGTCCATCTGCAACAATAAACCTTTACATTCCCACCTGTAGATAGGCACTTATGACAGTGCTATTGCTTAATACTTTCCTTGGCTGTGTGTCCACAGATCCCAATTTTAAAATCACAGCTCTTTTATAATCTTAGCACTTAACACACTCTGGAGTTCCCTATAATTTAAAATACTTCAAGGATAAAGTTGGTGATATTCTTAATGTGAAAGATCAAAGCCAACAACGGGTCTGTCTCTCAATACTTACTGAACTTTCAGGTTCCTACTGTAGTGTATTTTATAAAAAGGCTAAATAACTTCCAAAAAAACATCCAGAAACAGTAATTGTTTTCAGCAAACATGACTCAGACAGGAGTATAATAGTGCATTTGTTGGTTGTGAATTTGGTGCATTATAGAGCATTTATGGCAGTAGGATGTGGGATTGACCCAAAAGAATGCAAGCGTTTATTTGAATAAAGAAACATGTCACCTAATACGATGGTGTGGCTCGTTGATATGTTTTTAATAACAACAATGGAGAATATTTGTACAATGGAGGTCTACGGCACAGAGAACTAAGCTACAGTATATAAGGCTTCTCTGAGAGGTTACCAGCTTCATTCACTGTGCCCTGCTGTTTCCGGACTTCTGCTGTGTACAGCATAAATCAGATCACGGTTGCTCACAGAATGATGGAAAAAGGCCAATTGTTGGCTGACTCATTTATTGAAATGACAATAGTTTGTTTGGCTGCGCTGTAAACTAATACAGCAGTTGCTCTTATGTTGTCGTTACGACTAAGAATTACTTGCTGTTACCACCATTACAACATTAAAGCAGACATGGCTTGGTTGGGTGTGTCAATATTGGTGCGTGTGTTAGCGTTGAAATGGGGACTTTAAAGGAGAGTTTCTCTTCTGAATCCCATTTCTTTTGTGACAAAATCCTTAGTTGCATAAACCCTTCAAAGAAAGTCACTCTGACAACGCAGGCTCTTCACAGTAGGAGCTGGGCTAATTTAAATGCACCTTGTCCACCGTTTTCCAGCTAACACTGCTCATCTAGTGGCAAGAATTATAGTTATTTCCAACCATGCACATGTCCTACATCTAACTTTTTTATTCATGTTTTAGCCTTCTCTCTATTGTTTGTAGTCCTCATAAAACTGAATAATTAATGTGGCAGAAAACATAACAATGGTAAAGAAAATCTACCAAATGTCAAGCCAATGCTTACTGCTCACTAAAGAAAAAATTCACTTGTAAATCATTTGAGCTGTAAAGCCACTGTGCATCAGTACAGCAATGTCAGGTAGTCCAAGAACTGAAAAGTAGGGCTTCTACAGTGGTTTCATCCAATTCAGAAAGCCTGCTACTGTCAGAGCTGAGAAGGGCTTCACTGCTGCCAGGTTTGGATTCATATAACTTTGAAAATCTAATGTGTTCTTACGGGAATCCAATGCAAACAGTGCAGAGATGAATACTTCAAATATTCATAGGCGCAGTGGGACAGACACACAGTCAAATATATTCTTGGTTTTGCCCCTTAAACACATATGCATACAGCGGTACAGACATATTGAAATTGTGCTGTTACGCAACACATTTTACAGTTTTTTGTTTATTCATGTATTGTGATGTAGTGTTACTAATTAATGTATTAAATAGTCAGTAACTTGTACACTGACCCTATGTCAGAGTTAACACTGAATTACAAATGGATACATATGTGTTAGTGACATGACATTACATGTATCATATTATCTGGTGAAGCAGATATCTTCACACCACAATGCTAATAAGAGCTGTAATTATTTCTAAACAAAAATACCAATAGCCAAAAGCAAGTTAACCCACACAAGCATGCTGAAATAATAAAAACAAGGATATATTACATAATAAATATACTGGGCATTTAGTGAAGATATCTTATGTGATAAGTACTGATGTTGTTGTAGCTGTTCTCTACTTCAGTGTAGATGCCTTTGATAAAATGTCAAGGCTGTGCTCCACAAAAACACTGACTTGCCGCTGGCTGCTTTGTTGTAGTTTGTCCTGACCGTAGCTCTGAGGAGCAAAAGGAGTATAATCCTAGATAGAACACATTTCAAGGAGAGTTTGGTGGTGAAACATGTACACATAGCATTCACTGTAGCTAATCCTGAATATACTGTGCAGTTTTTTGTGTGTGTAGAATTATTATAATAGTAAACTGTATCTATATACAGAGACAGAGACAGAGACCATGTATAAAAGTGCTTTCAAAGAATCCTACATAGCAAACCTTGGGCAGGAAATATGTGAATCTCTGTCCATGGTGCTGAACCTTGGTGCTGGCTGGTCAATTATTCTGAATGTTATACAGCTTTACCCCTGACATTTAGATAGCTTTAGGATATCTAAATCTAAATAGGTCAATCTGAAGCACTTTGTGGATATTTACATGAAACATACCAGAAGATCAATTATAAATCAAATTACAGAAGATAACTCCCTGAAACCTTAGTGCATTAGAGCAAAAGTTATTACAGCGTAACTGGGAACCAAGATTTATTTTAATTAGTTAACTCTTGGCTCTATAAGGCAAAAGCTACAAACTGAGTCACAAAGGGGAGATTGTCTGTTTTATTGCAAACATTTGGGATTCTAATATTAGTCTATTATTTCCTCCTTCCCTGCTGTATAGAGGCCAGGACAGTATAAGGACATGTCAGTTCAGGTATTGCAGCTGTGAGGACAAGAGTGGGCAGAACTGCTGCAGTTTTAAGAATATTAAAACAAATATATATGAGCCAAAATAAATGCCTTGAATGCTTGACAGATCCCTCTCACCCTGGAAAGGATAACATTAAAAACAAATGATGATTTGTTTCAAACTAAAGGATTCTTTCTGTATGTTGTCTTCCCTTGCATACAATATGGAGACAGACTTGTGTAATTCTCTTCAATGCTCACATTAAATGATGAATAAAGTCAATAAGAATACCTTTATTCTCCCGTAAAAATAAGTACTGTCACTGAATCTGCTTTGTACAATGGCTAACGAAAAGGTCTTCATATTTCTATAACCCCTTTTTCCCATAAAAAACAAAATTTGTTTTATCTTGCATTTTCATTTTGTTTTAAACATTAGGAGTAACCCTTACTGGTATCTGATCAGTCTGAGTAAACAAATAGGAGTTATTGCCAATATAAAGTTGCTGCAAAAGGGATAACTGCTCATGGAGGAAAAATATTATAATGAGCTGTAATCCCTGACAGACAGCTGACTGAATTGGACACCTGTTTCCAAGAGGCTCGGTATGGAATAATGAGAACAGGAGCAGCCTATGAGCCATACTCCCGCAGCCACAGACTTGATGTAATCATCATTACAACCTTGTACTGGATGCTGACTTCACCATGTTATACAGGATTTGATTTTGAAAAGACACAGAGCTCATACATAATCATCCCTTATTATGGACACTTTGCCAGACATTTTCCTTAATAAACATAATAACCCAAACACGAGTATAATTTCATACAATGCAAAACAATAGCCCTGCAATAAATATTTCTTTGTAATATTCATTTTCTCTTTAGAGTTCTTCAGAACCGTGATGTTACTTCACCATTCATTGCATCATATTGTGAGGTGCTCTTGTAATTGTGTTCTCTCCACACAATGTGCATACATGGGGGAAAAGCTATGCAGCTCATAAATTGACTAATGATTTCCTTAGCAATGGGGAACAATATTGTTTCTGTCTCTGTCGCTGCTACCGTTAATATAGAGCCAGGAGACAACAAATTAAAATAAAGCTTGAAGAAATTATTCTATAATTGAGCTATAATACCTACTGTGAGATAACAATTTTGCTAAGATCTAAAGGAAAATTCAATCAATTGATTTATAATTCATTGCCAGCATTCTGGTGTGTTTCAAGTAACTGTTTACTGATTGCTTCAGATAATCTGGTTAAAGAAAGTACATTCTGGAAAGTTATTTCAAGCATAATACTCGGAAACGGATGACAGACTCTCCAGTGCATATGTTCAGCACCATGGACAGCGCTTCAACCAGTCTATAAGTGTTGGCCCATTAGCACCCTGTGTCTCTAAAATATCTACTTGTTTAAGAAAAACAACCTTGGTTTCAGCTTTTTCAAATAATTTAGTGGTTTTTGAGTAGTTTATTTATCTTAAGGATATTTTTCAACCAATAAACAAACTATTTGTCAGCTCATCTGAGATATTATATTTTGTATAAAGGTTTGGTTGGTCTTGTCTTACAGGTCTTCATCTGTATTATCAGTACTAGCTAAAATATCATAACTGCACATAATTGCAGATTTTATAGAACTGGAGCATTACGTGCATCTAAATTAAAAACCAAAGTTTGAAACTACACTCCTGAAATGAGAACATTTAGAACATACAAGCGTAAAGTTGCTCCCGAAAAGACACACAAATCACATATCATCAGGAGCTGGTAGGAATTTCAGGGAATAAAACAGTAGAAAGATAGCAGGTGTGCCAACTAATTGCTTGGTTGCATCCATTAGGCTGATGATGTCACAGGCCTAAACAGTTTGTAATTTAGGATATTAATAAAACACCCAATGCCTCATGTAAAGAACAAATCAGTTCCTTGGAGCAAAAGTAAAAGTAAAACAAATATAACCGTTATACTTCTATACTTCTACTCTCACTACACTCCTAGTACATAGCAGTTCCCGTCATGCTTGCAAATTTATGAAACCTCTACCACATTCTCATGTCATGCTGCTCACACCAAAACCTGTCTCTTAGTCTGTTATTGTAGTCTGTATGCTGTACATGAGTGGCATTCTGTGCTCCTTGGCTACCTATGTAAGGCATGTCCAATAGGGAATTGCCATAGGGTATACTGTGCCTGCTTAAAAGTCTTCAGATGGGATGATGCCTCGGGCCTTCCTCTGACTCTCAGCAACACTGCTCACTGGACATGCAAGTCATTTCTCATGTACAGTAAAGAATCCACATCTCTACCAAGGCCACAGGATAATGTGGATGAGATGTAGCCCAGGGAAACATACTCATATCACCAGGCGAGGCTGGGTTGAATGAATATGTGGTAAGATGGATGACAGACAGACCACACTGGAATATAATTTTACAGACTAATGGAGTCAGGCTGACACAGGGTGGGATCATGACACTGAGCAGAGTACAGCGGCAGAAGGTCAAACATATAGGTAGCCAGTGATGTATGAATTATATATACAGAGACAGAGGGACAAACTGAATATCAGGCTGAGAAATCTACAAAGAAAGAATCCAATCTTGCCAGACAGGTACAGATAGTCAAGCCACGCCTCATTTCTCTTACCATTGGAGCAGCCCTTCAGACGGGCCCCTCTGACTGGTGCCCTCTGTAAGTCAGCCTTGACACGCGCCTTGAGGCCCACGTTCTCCTTCTGCATGGCATTAAGAGCATCACTCACTGAGTTCACTACCTTCACCATGTTGATCTGGCTGTCTGACAGCAGCTGCAAAACACACACAGTGGGAGAGAAAAATACACATTAACATTTATAAACAGTGTAATTGTACCAAACCTGTTGCTCACCAAACCTGTAGCTCAATAACTGCAAGCTGTACTTTGCACTATTTCCCAGTGTGCCAAAGGTTTTTACAACCTTTCAGACAGGCAGTGCTTTCCATTTATTTCTCTACAGTATAAAAATGATTAACTATCAGATGTGTGAAACTTTCTTAAGGTTAGAATCCTTAACATTCTCATCATATCAAACCCAATTTTTCACAATATTTATGTCTAGTATTTATTCGATTATTGACCTTAAATGCTGGTGCTCGAGTCAAAGAAAAGGCAAGAGCTCACACAGATACACATTTCATAACAGCTGGTCTCAGGAAACATATATGCATCAGTACAAGTATAAAAAAAGCTCCACATTTTCATCACTGCCAACCAACAAGGGCAATTCAAGTGTTGCATGTCTTCTTCAGCCGTATTTCTGATGGAGAAGCTGTTCAAAGTAAGTTTCTAGCCCCCGGTGATCAATAACCATATCATTTCCAACAGAACTCTGGAACTTGTATTAAGAGGTTCTTAGCGTTATCACCAGGAAGCACAGGTGTTACCAAATCAACCAGAACTGAAATCTTAAGGATTATGACTTTAAGATAAGCAACCCAAAACATTGTTTGCCTTCGATTTTAGTCAGAGTTACATCACATTCACAGAGTAATGCACCTGCAAAAAGTGTTTTCCATATTTTTACCAAATATGACTGTGTTTTGCTCACATACTTCTGCTTTTATGAAAAGAAGTATCTTATGTATCCACCATGATATAACTATGTTTAACCCTCATCCTATCAAAACATATTCAACATACAAGGACAGTCCTGCGGGACCCCAGTTGGTAGGATTAAGGTTAAGTTACTTGTTAACTGAATGCAAGTAAGCTCATTGTAAAGGAATTTAGCCTGGAGGGGGTTTGGAACCTCTTCTTGTGTTAGTTTGTTAATAATATATCTGTATCATAAGAGGAATATTATGTGGATTGATATGTCTGAATTTAATTAAATGTTAATAGCCTGTAGGTGCAGTGCTTTTCAGCAGTGCAACTCAGATGTCAGAGCATCCTTGAACACACCAGCAAGGACAGTTTCTCACAGTAGTCTCAGCTGCATGACCATGTGATGTCAATGTGACTTTGAAAAAATAAGTTGGGAGGGTAAAAAAGTGTATACATTTATGTATATATGTATTTTTATGAATACTGAAAATTAAACCTTGCTGGAAAGGAGGGTAAGTCTATCTAAAAAAGTTTTGGTATTCTTTGGAAAATGTGCTAATATATCTCAAACTCAATTTGTAGTTAATGGGCTAAAAACATACAGTATATAGCCACTGGTACAGTACAGTCCTTGAGGGACCTTTAGAAACACACAGGTGCATAGACTACCCTGCGTAGCAAAGACACCACATGGTACCCTATCCCATAATGCACCCTGGCGATTGCTGTGAAACACAAAGAGCCCTGTGGGATGGCTGGTGATGAATGTGTGTGCTAGGACTAGCAGAGAGCAGGGTAACCTCTCTGATCTGCTGTGGTCACTTCCTTACCTGCAGCCCTTTATGTGCTGTTCATTGCAGAAAGGTCGTTTTCACTATCGCCCTAGTTGGCTAACACCTATGCACAGCCAGGTGTTGGGCCCCATATGTACACACACACACACACACACTATACTTTTGGAGGTATGAGAAATGTTCTTGCTCTTCCTTATGCTCACTCCCCTTTTTTCATGCTCCTCCACCCTGTCTCTTTCTCATCCACATATAAAAATGGGCACTCACAAACACACACAAAGACCTGCAATGCATTAAAGTCATATATGCGGGGGTTCAGAGTCTTCTATCAAAGGTATGTCTGTGCAGCTATATTGAGGTGTTAAAACTGCATTAGACAGAAGCCCCAGTGGCCTTTCCCTGGCCTCAATAACTATGCAACACACCTCTGAGGCATAGCAAGCTGCACTGCAATCATATTACATGGGCACTGGGGTTTTAACCCACACATATATAAACAACACATTTATGTATGTGCCCACATGCAAGTACAAAGCAAACCACACACACACACGCATGCATACACTACAGAAAGGACCCACTGTGCTTAGCAGTTTGGAAGGATGAAGCAAAGAAACTGGGTTTTCTGCTTTGTGAGTGTATTATTGTTCAAGAAGACAGTTTTTTTGAGTATGTGTGGAGGGGTTTAAGATGTTTTACCAATATTTAATAAATACGTGTGTCCTTTCTCATGTGCAAATTTGACATTACTTTCAGTGTTGTAATTTTCAATAACATATACTGTTTGTTAGTGTGTTTGTGGGGAGAGACAAACTAAACAACCAGACAAACAAGCAGAGGAGTATCTGCTGCCTCAATTCTAATCCTTGACTGACACATCAATTAGGATCATGGCGTAATTAGCTATCATTAGACAGCCTTAACACAGGGAGCCGTGCATTTGTGAGTCAAGTTTTTTTTTTTTTTTTTTTTTTTTTTTAAAGATCTGTTGCAGACTCACAAAAGGGGTTGGATACAGGTTTTTTTTTTTTTTTATAAAAAGAGGTCCATCAATCTCAAGATGATCAGAATCAAGTTTGGTTGTTACTTAAATCCTATTCTGGCTTGATGTATATCTGATGTAACTGGATTAAAAATGATTTTGTTAAAACACACAACTAAGATGTGCTTTTTTTGGCCTTAATCAGACGTTCAATAAGGTAGAAACATGTTCCCCGTGGAGTAGAGTCACAGAGCAGAGAGGAGTTGAAAGGCCTGGAGCTGGCAAGTAAAAAAAAAAAAAAACATCTGCCTAATATGACATCTTCACCTCACAGACAGCAGCTGTCCAGCCAACTAGAGCCTGAAGAAGTAAATGGAAGAAGTGAGAGGTGCCATCAAAAAGTCGCCCTCTCTTTACTCTTGACTGGTGTAGCCCTTGCAAGTTGAAAATAATTCACACCCTGAAGCACATTTGTACTATTCCACGACTTCACTTATAAATCCAAGTAACCAATAGGTTTAAAATATAATGAGAAAAACTTCAAACTACTTTGCTGGACCCCTATACCAATGCTACCAGTGCTTTAAGATGGTACATATACACTATAATGATGCTTTGTGAACATTTATGCATTCTTGTTTCTTCAAAAAAATAACCCTTTACTTCACTGAAAGACTACCAAGGATGTGGTAGGAATTTTTTGTCTCTACAGTATAAAGTCACACATATAGTTAAATTCCTTTTCCCATTTGTCTAAGAGGCATCATATTATAGCTAAAACATTGAATCAATTAATCAATTAGGCTATCAAAAGAAAAAATAATCTACAACTGATTTAATGTTTCAGTCATTTTCAAGCAAAATGATCTTGTTCCAGCTCTGTTTTATATCATTGTAAATTCAGACATCTTTGGGTTTTCAGTTGGACAAAACTGCCGAATACTTCATCTTGGGAATAGTAATGGGCATTTTTTCACAATTTTCCTAAACTAAACAATTATTCGAGAAAATAACCAGCAGATTAATCGATAATAAGAAATATGAGAAAATAATCTTTTCTTGCAGCCCTACAGCCTATAAGAGCACAAGTTCCAGAAATAAATCCTGCCAGATGCTGAGTTGGAGAAAAATAAATTCACGAAGTTGATATCCGATGTCCACAGGGTACAGTTAAGCCGACTGTTAACCTCATCCTTTGTTATTGTATTGCACTTTGCCAGCCATGTAGCTCCCAGCCACCTCTCTGCTGACATCCACACATCCTGCAAAACTCCACTTCTTTTTTCATCTTTTGACAGCCGTGATTCAGATACACATCTTCATTTGACTCTACCTCTTCCTCAAGAATATCTGGGTGGCTAATTGTTTTCCCTGTGTGTTGTTTCTCTGAAGCTACAGTTCAATGGTCTTTTTCAAAGAAACACGGGCCATTTTGAACTAAAAATCCATTCTGGATTAACAGGACAAAGACTCCTCAATTTCTCCATTTAAGGTTCTCCCCACCCTAGAAGTTGTTTGACAGATAATACAATTCCAGCTGTACTTCAATGAGATAGTTAGTCCAACCTCTGCCTTGACAGAGTTCCTTGACATAAGGAGCCTCTGAAGCAAAGAAACAATGAATAAAAGATTAACCCCCGATGATGGACAGAAACTTCACACATAAAGGGAATGTTTTTTATAGCAAATCGGATTCATATCATACAGAGGGTCTCTGATCTTTGATCAGGCTTTTGATATTGTGCATGTGTGGTTTAGTGTGGAGGTTGGGGGCAAAGAGTCCAGCTCTGAAATTAAATCATTATTAATGAAATAAAGTGGTGGGAATGCCCTTTAATGTTTATGTGCACTTTTTGGCCAAATGTGTGCACTTGAGCCATAGTCCCTCATCAACATGGATTTCAGTTTTGTCTTTTTATTTCACAGTTTTGACATGTATGCAATTGTACCACCTCATCATTTTCCCAGGAGATTATTAAAATAAACATAATATTAATGTCTTGTAGTTTTTATTTTTCTTTTGCTGTGAAACATTCGTAAGCTCTAAAGGATATAGTTCAGGCTTACTGCATTTTTCTGTAATTAGAAGATAACATGTTTAGGCTATTTTTAAGCACCTTTGTAGCACCTAAAAATTGCTGTATTAACTATTTACATTTTCATTATTCAGTATTGTTCTAATGGTTTGAACCCTCCAACACACTGATATTCTCTATTCTTCTGAATTGGTGAGCTGTATCTTTGAAGTTCTGCATTTGCTTAATTGAATTAGGTTTCCTTGTTTAATGTGACTTTTATCATTATTCACTCTTATTTAGGTTTTGAAGTTACTTGTATCCCATCCCTAGCTGAAATGCTGCAACAACTTACTTTTCCAAGTCCTCAAAGGACTTCGTGTTGAGCAGAATGAACATCTTGAGGCAATATGGTTTTCTATTCTACAGCAGCAGAGGTTTGTCCCTAGATCCTTAGCAGAGGTTGTGGGTGTCACTTGTCCAAAACATTAATATTCCACAGGCACATAATTCAGTTTAAACTGTGACCTGTGGTTCAAGGAAATCAGTATGTCATGCTCTTCCTTGCAGCCTTTACCTCCTTGCAGTCTTTTTGCAGTTAGACATTGTGGGAAAACTGAATGTCAAGTCAGTTGAACTACTTTTTATGTCAGTTGGACTTCTGCTATGGAGAATCTAGCCCTTCCGTTTTGAGTGCAGGTCATAAAACTTCCATGCTTACCCCAGCTAGTAGGCTTTATACATGGTTGCCAACATTGATAATGAACAGGGCTGCCAGTGCTGGTCAGAGCTAAAAAATACATTAACAACTTTTAATGGAATTCATACCACTGACGAAAGATCAAAAGACCATGAGAAAGATAAAACTGTAACACCACAGTAATGTGAGGATGCTAAAGTGGAAGTACTTTGGATTTTGTGTTGAAAATTGTGCTTGAATTTACATAAACTATTATCCTGAGCTCATGCTCCTAGAGCAACACAGTTCTGTTACTGTCAGCAAAGCAAATAGCACACACACATTCTAATGTCTCATAGACATACAACTATGTCAATAAGACAAGGAACATGTGAAGAGTTATTGCTTTGTAAGGTGGTGTCAGAACAATAATGTCTGTGTTTTTGTTTTAGTTATCTTTAGTTGGTTCGATTGGTTTGGCTTGGTGTGTGTATCTGTGTGGGTGGTAATTCCTTCATTGGAAAAAGTGTTGCTTTTATTTAACACAGCTACTCTTCAAATATAAATGGCTTTTCTGAAAATATCAATCATGACAGAATCATTACACAGAGACAACATTAATGAAGGTACTGAATGACATCTGCTGATTCAGGATTTTTTTTTTTTATCTGTACATCTGGTATATCTAGTACAGTCCTCGCTCAGTTCAGGTTGCATCTAGAAATCATCGGCTATGCTGTTGCCATTGGCATTTACAATAGTGCTGATGTAATATTAATATGCTGCCATTTAGATATGAATGTTTGAATTGTTATATATTGTGTACAGAAAAACTGACAACAACATGGACTCAAGAAAACAGAAATTGACAATGCATCAAGTAAATATTATATATTTCGGATTCCGAGTTGAGGATGGATGTGGGAAAAAAAGAGTTTTGAGCAAACACTAGCAACAGGCTGCACCTTGTCCATCACTCTGAAACCTAACCATCAGTTAAATGTATTGTTATATTCCTATATTATACTGGACTTTTCCATCAGAGTGATTCATCTGAATGCAAATGTGTGTGCTTAAGTGTACCTTTCCATTTGAGCCCGCAAGCAGTCACTGTGAAAAATGAATATGTCATTTTGTGAAAAATCAAAACACATTGGTCCTAAACCCACTGCAATCAGATTCTCCTGCTTATCTCCTTGGGGGCATTTTGAAGGTTTTCTCTATATGGCAGAGTGAAACTGTTCTTCAGGGGGCTGCGGTGCACACTGAGCCATTACTAACACTGGCACAGTCAGCTCTGTGTCATCGTATAAATCAGAAGTCCTGGCCACAGGTGGCCCATAGATCACAGAGTCACACCATGGTGTCAGGCAGCAACAGCGGATGTGCACACCACATGCCTTGCCTCCAAAGAGGAAATCAATCACCTGGAGTGTCTGGACTGCCAGCACCACCTCCACTTAGCCTCAGTGCCCACTGCACCATGCCACCTATACACCACATTAACACCAGTAAAATGGACAGTCCCTCTTTCTGCTTCCACTGAGCTACCAATCAGCACCCATGGTTTCTTTGCCTACAGAAGCAGAGCAGACCAATCCAGTGAGTGAACTCTAAACAATGTTGAACGCTGAGCTAAAGAGGTCTGGCATAAAGAAAAGATGGGCAGAAGTGGAATGCATTCTGTTGTTTGAGCTGTATGGCTGGCAGCTATGAAATCTTTTTAATAAAGAAAAGAGAGACTGATCCTGATGGGCCAAAATTAAAAGAGCATGTAGTGTGATGATTTTCTACACACATTTAGGAGATGTATTCTCAATAAATCAATATGGACAGTGTGAAACTAAAGGGGGTCTAATTATATTTTTGCCCACTGTGGATACTGTCTTACACATCTAGGGAAACATTATGCTATCTTATTGAATTAATGTGCAAGTTGTTCTGTTTCTTAACATGATGGGCATTTCTTCCCCTGTGACCTCATCTTCAAACACCAGACTGAATAAGTTATACTCAGTGGAACATGAACCCTATTTGCACTTCGATCTAGATGTTACTGGGCTTGTAACTGTCTAAAAAGAAATGGTGGTGTTGGCATTGGATTAGTGAATGATGATGTCTTGATTTTGCAGTCAGGAAAAGGAAGGGACTAAGTAAGACCAACTGACAGAAAACCCTCTAGTCCAATGAGCTGTCACACATCTTGAGGTGGTTTCACAATCAATACATATTGATAGGTGTTTCACAATCCAGTACTCAAACGCCTCTGTACAGTACTTAGAGTCATGACTTCAGCAGTGACTATTGCACACTGGATTCAGTTAATCTGTTTTTACTGCTCAACCAATCATCCTCATGTTCAGCCATAAAAAAACAAAGAGAAACCCTTTTGCATAGTTTTTCTTCACAAAATACGTATTTATGCCAAAATGATCTTGATGTTCTTAGAACATGACTTTTTCTTTCTTTCTCTAAGTAGGTACATTGACACAAGCACTGTACTCAAGTATAATTTTGAAGTACTTGTTCTTTACTTGAGTGTTTCCATTTCATCCGTCTTTATACTTCTGCTTCACTACAATTCAGAGAGCGATATTGTACTTTTTATTTCACTACATTTATCTGATGACTTTAGCAACTAGTAACTTTGAATACCTGGAACCTTCTCCATTCTCCCATAGGTGTTCAATTAATTCACAAAATTTTCATTCTAATCAAACCATTCAATCCCCCCCTCGTGCCCTGTATGAAAGCCCAGGCATTTGTCATGCTTCTCTGGTCATTTATACAGGTTTTTCCTTTAATTTGTCACCCATCTGTAGGTTTACAGTGTTTAACTACTGTTGAAATTAGAATAAAATTAATTCCTTGTTAGACAGTTGTAATTTCATGATAATAATTTATGATGCATTTACATTCTATTACATGTTAATATTTTTTTTTTTTACAAGCTGGAAGGATATACAGCTGGAATGTCATTTTCAATGTCTTTTTTGTGTTATAGTGTGCCTCAGTTTCCACTCTGACCTGGGTGGTGTATTCTCTATGACCTTACAATTCCATTGGGTGTCCATTATGTCTCTGTTTGTGTGTGTGTGTGTGTGTGTGTGTGTGTGTGTGTGTGTGTGTGTGTGTGTGTGTGAGTGAGAGAGTGTGTCTATGTGTCTGTTTCTTACCTGTATGAGGCGTCCCTGCTCCGTCTGCAGTGTGTTAAGGTCTTGCCCCAGGCTGCCTTGCCCTCTGCGTAAGGATTCATAGTCCATTTTCAGTTGCCCCGCGTGGGCTGACAGCTTGGCCACCTCCTCAGCCAGACTGACAAGAAGAGCCCGATCCTGGCCTTTCACTGACTTCAGGTCAGAGTCGTGGTCAGTTAGCGAGTGGAGCAGTGATGTCTGTACACCCTCCAGGCGCAAAAAGTTACTGTTGTAGTCAGGACAGTTGGGGTCGATGAAGATGTTGATGCGAGAGCCATCGCCTCTCTCAACAGTGACCAAAGCATTGGCTTCATCCTGATTGGTAGAGATGTGGGGTAGGCCATCAGACATGGGTGGGGCCTGGTAGTGATTCATAAAAAGGATGGTGCCAGTTACAGTGACAGCAAGCAGTACAGCCACGAAGAGCAGGATAGTGCAAAGCAGGTAGCTGCAGCTCATCCTCTGTAGGTAGGAAGGAGAGCGGGGAGGGGGGAAATAAGGAATAAAGGGAGGAAGGAAGATAAAAAAGTAGGTGTTACATCACAGTTGCTAGAACACCACAAAACTACAGCAAAACACCTGCCTTATTCAAAAAGAAATGACTTTCATCCATCACTGGGGATATTGTGAATGCCAGATGCTCTGTACTCAGCGATGTAACCATATTCCCATCTGTCAAAATGTAGTTTTGAATGATTTATGTAGCAACATAATGTAGATTTTTTTCAACTGCGAGTCCTCTTGAAGATCAACATTCTCTGAAATTAAGGAAAACCCAGACTATTTCTCTCCAAACACCCAGTAGGGTGATGATTGACAAATAACACTGAACCCACTTGAGTCCAGCTCAAGATGTCACACACAGGAAGCAGAACAGTATATGGAAACACAGTTTTGGTATCCTGATCTTAAGACTTCCTTTCATACTTACACAGTCATATTCTGTATATAAGTATACCCCATACTCATATCCCTATCCATGTAAGATATTAAGATAAGGTCCCCTTAGGTTAACAACCATGTAAGAGCCATGAGGATACCAAGATAATAATAGTAGTACACATTGCCATGCATATACAGTATATCCATTAATCTGACTGGTAGTGGTGCAGTAGAGGGAAGTGCTGAGACACTTCTGGGAAACACATAGTCAAGGCACAAATGTTCTGTCTTTCCGTTTCTGAGACAGGAAGGAAAACAATAAAAACCAGAAACAACTGTAGCCAGGAAGAGAAAGTAAGACAAAAGTGACTCACATAGCCAATAGAATGTAAATGAATGAACAGAGAGTAGGATCCTCTTAGAGGAAAAAGGCAGACCTCTACCAGTAACATAGTCTCCATTAACTGACTATAAAAGGCCTGTATGTTGGCCCTTTATGATCCTGCTCTATTCTTTCCACTCAGGTCAAGAGAACTAGCAATGGATAGGAGAGAGCAATTTAGGCCACCTATGCATGATTAAAAATGCCTAGCTCCCCCATATCTTCCTCCAAATGAATCAGCAACTGATCTCTTAGTGATTTTTTTTTTTTTACACTGGAGGATGATCTATCTGTGAGAATATGTGGGCAGGTGTGTGTGTGTAAGTGTGTGTTGTGGTCTGTTTGTATGTACTGTATGTGGACGTGTGAGTGAGTGCAAGCTCATTAATATGTAAATTGGCTGCACAAGCACAGCGAGACACACTAATAGACAGCTAATGATCTGCTTTACGAGAGAGGTTTATGGTTTCTTTAATGTGAAGAAAATCAATTGTGTTGTCCAGGAAATACTCCTATCCACTGTGTTTACCCACAGTCTTTGAGTAGAAGAAATAAAAACTCCCCCGACAACTTGTCCATGTGGGGGCCGAAATGTGGGCTCTGTGTAAAACAAGTGTGCATACAACCTGCAACCCACGTAGTGTTGGTCTGTTGACACAAAACGGAACCTCTTTGATGTCTAAGGATGATTTCTCACATGGGCCTCAATTGTAGTCCTCTTTTGTCCAATCATGAGACCAAGTAAATGCACACAAAAGGAGTTCATGTGGGGCCTGAGGATGGTTTTCTTGCATGGGCCCCATTTGTACCCCCATGGCTTCATTCACAACCCACATGTGCAAATATATGGGGCTTGGAGCCATTGGACAACTATTGTTGGACCTGGTGAGTCCTTGCTGGATGCCTATGTTTCTTTGCTTCACAAAAAAAACATTTTTGTGGTTGTGACAAGAAAACCAACATGGACTTAGTGAAAAAGACAATAAAAAAGCTTTAAATGTATCTGGGTAACATCTGAAAAATAAAGCTGTTTGACCTATCTTCACAAAAGCAAAAAGAATACATTATTCTTTTATGCTGGAGAGGAACAAAACCACTTTTCAGAGGGTGATTGGAAAATTGCTCCTTTCATTACATACTGCATTTTGTTGATTTTTTTTTACTTTTCCTGAAATATAAAAAGCCTGTTGGTAGAATCAAGTAAGTCAATTGAATTAAATTCATTTTTAATGATTATTGTTTTTCTGCAGGAGCCAACTTTACTGTGGCCACTGTTTTCTGCACACCGCTGACATGAATGGAAGTACTGTCACTGCAAACTGCCCCAAGGTTCTATTTGTCCAAATGGGTTAGGAGCTACGGTATGTATACATGAATGCAGCACACACACACACACACACACACACACACACACACAACATACATACTTCACACAGACAACACAATATACAATAGCCTCACTTTATTTCCGATGCATATGCACATGCATGCACACATACCCATATAATCTGCACACAATTCTTTCTACTAGATACTTCCAACTGACAGGAAAGCACATGCATACATTGCACATGAAAAAAATGGAGCAGAAAGCTTTGTCAGAACGTTACCACTTCTTCGTTTTTTTTCCACCCAAATACATCATCACAGAAAAGAGCTCCGGGGGAGTATTGCCACACGTAACATTTTTTTTGTCTCCTTGCTCTAGCTCAACATGTAGACCCTGACTGCACTATGAAATCTCTCTTTGCATGTCAAAGAGTTTTTTTGTTCTTTTTTCCCCCTGTGTGTTAGAGTGCAGGTGCAGCTGAGTGATTGTGACTGTGACTAGGGTTGGCTGTGTGTGTGTATGTATGTGTGTGTGTGGCAGGATGTCTGTGCTGTACATAATGTATATAATGGCCTCACACTGCAGAATGGCTGCAATGTAACATTAGAACAGTTTCACTGAGCTCTATCGCCAGCAGGCGACATCAGTGGAAGCCATCATTGGCACTGCACTAAATATTCATTGCTAGCATACTGATTGTTAACTTAACGTGGAGGAGATATACGATGGCCCCCGTTATGCTGACAGTGAGACACACAGGTAGCTGACAGACATCTATACACTGAGAAATACATGTACAGGAGCAGTGCAATTTTGTAACGAAATTTTCTGAAATAAATAAATTGTGACAAGCACATAATGATGTCCCCAGATGTTAACCTTTTAAACCATGAAGTAGTTTCTGATAGATTAAGGTACAGTTTGAGATTTGTACCAATAATAGTTCAGCCTGAACTAAAGATAACAAAAGTCAGTTGAGGTAGCATATTGATCATGGCACCTGGGTGGCGCAGGAGAAAAAGCTTTCTAATGCTTTTGGTTTTAGGTACATTTTTCTGTCTTGGGATACAAAATTGTACTTGTCAAGGGACAACTGACTTTCAAGAAAAGGTACCATAATGCAACTGGCCCAGTGACAAGCTGGGTACAATTATTTTCTATTTTTTTCTGAGGTCAGACTGACATGAATTGAAAGATGAAAAAGTCAGCATGACAGTGAGGAGTGGAGATTTAGCTGTTGCCTCATTTGGTCCATAAAATTAAAACACAACTGCAACTTGCTTCATATCCTGACTGAATAGACAATCTCTCAACTCAACTCAAGAGTCGTAGTAGGGTAATGACACTGCAAGCAGCCTCTTAACACTTTTTTTTTGTAAATGAGACTCTCAATCTCTCAGCAGGAGCCTACTCTGTAATTAGTAGCTGACTTTCAGATCCTCTCGTGTCCCAACTCATGCCCCACCACAGGATTTGAGAGGACGGCAGGGGAATTCTGATGGAAACATAGAAAATGAGAGGCAGAGAATGAGAAAATTCCTCTCTATGAAAATGATGTTGTCCTCCCACGCAGAAGCATTAGCAGACAGTTCTTGGACGAGAGGCTTTGTCTGCTCATTAGATAAGCAGAAAACCAGCAGGAGTCTTGCAAGTTCTCTCTCTCTTACTCACTTTCTCCTTCTCAAACACACATATACACACATATATGCTGACACAGATGTATACACAGGAAGAATTTTACATTGATGCTACCCAACTACCATCCCAACATCTCAAAATGCTGAATTGGCACACATATGCATAGCAAACCTAATGCACAAACTCACAGTTTTAAAAAGAGGATTTTCACCTACTCCTCTACCATTTCATTCACCTGCAGCTTGAATAACACTTTCAAATCAGTATTCAATGCATATCTTCTTCACAAATTCTGGCACGCTATTGAGATCCTTTTCCTGGTGCAGCCATGATCACTGTGCTCAATTCAAAGAATCTGCAGGGCCTAATCCCATCTAATTCTTGTGTGCTTGGGTACTTGAGCTAAGGTTGTGCCATCTCTGCAGATCGGTGGCAAAATGTGACGTGTAATATGAACTAATCCTTCACACTGCCATCACCACAGCAGTGAGAAAGCGGATTGTGATTGTCATTGATACCTAATCCCCTCCACAGGTGAGTAAGTCACTATGTGTCCCTGCTTTTATTTACTGGAAGGAAAGGAGTGGAATTCTGTCTTGTTCAGCATTTAGAGTTTGCAGTTTGACAGTAGTATCAGGAAAAACTAATTCAAATTTAGAGCTGAAACAATTCACTTGATTAATCCATTAGATGATCGACAGAAAATTAATCAGCAACAATTTGTATAATAGTTTAATCGTTTTAGTATTTTTTGGGGCAAAAAATTGCAAAAATCAGCTTCCAGCTTCTTAAATGTGAATATTTTTGCTCATTTTCTCTGTCTTTTATTATAGTGAATTAAATATATAATAATAATAATAATGTCAGTCAGACCAAACTGCAAAACGAATAAATAATAAAAACAGTATGACACATTAATTACAATAAGGCCCCTAATGTAGATATGATGAATTATGCAAGGTTGATATAATCCATGAAACAAAACCATGTGTTGGTGTGTGCGTGCATGCATATTGCATGCAGTACGTTGTGGTGACAGGGCCTTACCTTGGCCGGGGTCTCCCTGGCAGTTTCTGAGTCTGACCAGCGATGTTTGAGCTGGGAGGAGCTGGGCACACACTCACAGAACGTCTGCATGGGACAAACAGACAGGACCACCAGTGTTGGCGTTTGTTCAAGTCACATGTGCAATGAAGCATGCAAGCACATGCGCACAAACACACACACACACACACGCAGGGAGCACAAATACAGACAAAGAGGCTAAGGTGTTGGGTCTGTAAATAACTGAAAAATCAAAGCACTGGACACAGCACATTTTCTAAGCCAAACTCTCAAATCTCATATAAAATCATTGTTAAGAGATTAATGTTGTTGGCACTGATAAACTACATCCACCTACACACATAACTGCACACTGACATAGACAGATCTGAACAGGCACATGTACATCTCAAAGGTATCTCTGAATTCAATAGTTTATGACAGGCTCAATGCGTCTTCCATAAGATGGCTTTGCAGGATTCTCAGTAGACATACTTTCCTCCTACTCCAAATATAAGAAAGAAAAAACAAAACAAATGAAGAATAGCATTTCATTGAATATGAGTGGGTACAGAGTGTGTGTAGCAAGCATTCACATATGCAGGTGAATGTGGGTGCTTGTATACAATATCTGAGCATTATGTGCTTTAGTATATGTGACTCTTTGTGCTTGTATGTGAAATTGTTTGGGAGTAGTTCTAGCTGCTGCACAGATAAAAGCGGAGTAATTATGAAAGTGGGGGCTTTCTAACTGCTCCAGGAGAGCACGTTGTTCCGTGACCTTAAACACTACTGCTCCCACTGTGGAATTGCTCAATTAGCCCGGGACAACAACACCAACACAAAAGCACACACACGTGGGCACACATGCACACACAACTGCCTACTTAAGAACGGATGCTGCAAGCGTTAGCAATTAATTTATCAGAATGTGCTCTTTATCCCAGCATGGTGTCATACTGTAAGCCTGTGTGTATATTAATGTAGGTAATGCAAAAAATGCTATATACATTTGTTATGACACTGTCTGTTTTAATACCATCAGCAAAAGTGACTTTAACCAAATGTTTAACATTTTAACAATCAATTGTCTACACTCACATCCAGTTTACATAGAGCAACTTTAGCATTCATTTGAATATGTATATATGTCTACCCAATGAAATATAAGTTTAATATTAACTCTCCTTTTACCTCTGTTTTGGTCTCTAACAGAGCTTGAGGAAAAACTATTACCTGCTAATTGGTCAGCTTCCTTTACCCAATCATCCACTTTTGTCTGACTGCCATTTGTTGCTGGCAGGTAGTGTAAAATTAGTTAAACAGAGCTTTTTATTTTTGTATGTGGAAACAGCTGCCTACGGGGGCTAATGAGACCAGCTCAGATGCAGCCACAAAGTAACTGCATGGGCCTAAAAAAAAAAAAAACGTGTTTAAAGATGCTTAAAAGCTCCTTGGAGCTGTAGTTTTGGGTGATAATTCTCTCTGATTTCAGCGGGTATGAGCGAACCCTTACACACTGGAGTAATTGGATTCACTGTTAATATCCAAAATATGGCAGGCTTAAGGGTGTGTGTGTGTGTGTGTGTGTGTGTGTGTGTGTGTGTGTGTGTGTGTGTGTGTGTGTGTGTGTGTGTGTGTGTGTACGGGCCAGGCAAGCAGTGGCTGTCTTTGTGTAGATTTTGTCATTTGAGTGAATTGCTGTGTATGCAGCTCACACAGTCATTGTTATGATGGCTGACCAATAGTCCACCCCTTCTCTTCCAATGTATAAGACAGCAAGAGAGGGGGAAAAAAGAAGGCAGCAAGGGAGAAAAAAGTAAAGGGGGGCGGGGGGAGAAAGAGATGGAGGGAGATTTGGGAGAGGTGTGTTGAATTCTAATGAGCAGCCTTAGGGTCAGCGATAGAAATCTATGTCTGTTCTGCCTAAAACATTGCAGCTGTCTGCAGTACACAGAGGAGCTACAGAGCTACCATTACTAAATAAACACAGACTCCACAGTGATGCGGCTAAACAAACTAACAAGTCAGCTACACAGTAAAGTAAACTGGAATGAATTTCTATGTCGAAAAACCCCACTAACAGAAATAGGTGCGTGCATTTCATGCTGTTGCACAAGTTCACAGGTGTGCGTGCACACCAGTACAGATATGGACACCAAGGTCTACTCCTGCTTTGTTGCAAGCAAGCCAAGAGATAGAAAAACATACACACACCCTCCCATATGAACACATGCACACGGAACAAAGGTTGTGTGTTACAGCTGCAACCCACTCAGATCCCTGACACAGTCTTCCCATTACACAGAGCAGCACGTATCAGAGCTTTAGTTTGTTCATCCCTGTGCCTGCTAATGCTCACATTGGGGTTCTTTGCTGCCTGTGCACACAAACATACACGCACACACTCACAGTGACATGCCAGTATCTGTGGGGCTTCTTGCTGGCAGTGGTCCCGGTGTGGGCATGACTGCTTGGCAGTGTTTGTCTAGTCCTAATCTGACTCCACAAGCTCCACCAGCGGAGAGGATTTACACTTAATAGAATATTTGGGCTTTTTATTGGTTGGACCTTACACGCAGAATCCTATCTGATGAGCCACGTCTTAGAAGACAGGAAGGGCTCAGACTTATCCTGGGTGTGACTGGGTGTGTACGTGCCCTTTTTTTGAATGAGTGTACCTACGTGTTTGCATGAGTGCATGCGAGGATATAAGTCCTCAAGGCAAGAATCCCAGCACTATCTAAGAATATTTGGATTGTTTGAATGTGTTGTTCCTGGAATATATTTCCTCACTTTGCTGAATACCTTTATGTGTGTGTGTGTGACAGGGACTTTAGCAAGGTGTGTTTAAACCTACAGCTTACTAAGCCGATGGAGTGGAAGAGGCTTTGCATATATTCACTTGTGGGCTTACTGATCATTTAACAGGACTTGCAGACTGCTAAATGAGGGGACTAAGGCTGTCAGAATGACGGAAAAATGAGTAAAAAAAGGGGGAGCAGGTAGCAGAGTATACAGCAAATGGACATTGTGTCATATTGTGAAGTGTTACAAATAAGAAATTATCTTGTTAAGCGTGTGTCACCAGTAGACATTTCTATGTCTAAATGCCAAAAAGGGTTAACACTGAATGGATGAATTAATGAATGGATGGATGAATAGTGCTGTGACAGCTGTCCTGACAGAATAAATGCTGAGACTTTACCGCTCACCATTAGAAATGAAGAAGCCATTCAGATAAAAGATGCATGGACATCTTTAAATTCACAAGTCACTGGAGGCTTTATCTTACATTGTGTTGTAATTAGTCAACACAGACATGTTGATGACTTATTTTCTGAACCCATGAGGTGCTTTCTCTGAAAAAACAACAATAAATGAAATCTTTGCTTGTTCTCCTGAAAAATCCTGTTTGAAATGCATTCATATAAGACAGTACTTGGAGAACTTCAATCAAGACTAAAAAGCAAATAAAGATAGGACTTGTTGGAAGTGGGTGTTAATGCAAATGTTTGAATTTCATAATTAAAATCTTTTTGGGGGGGGCTTTTTCTCTGGTACATTATTCATGAACTAATGAACCACAATATAATGACTCCTAAGCTACTCTAATAAATCCTAAACTAATGACGCATCCCCAATAAAAAGTCAGTTCCTGCTTGTAAGTTGACTCTGATGATGTGCTACTTCACTTGAGGGGACTAAAAATAGTAACTTATATCAACTGTATGTAATCAGGAAGTAATTATGAGTAATTGGTCATGTGCTATTTAGCAGGTGATAGTTTAACTTGGAATGGTTCATTGACGAGATAGTCAGTATGCCGATTCACAGATATTCATAAACGAAATCAAGGAACTCATTAGATACTGCATCATTAACATAATGCTGTTATCAAGTAACTTGTCATTATCTACAATAGTCCTTAACTCAGAGTTATTTAATAGCTACTTATTTAGCTATTTATTGATTAGCAATTAGTCCCTAATGTGTTTCTTACTTGATAATTACTCAATATTTTGTGTAATTTATTAGTTACACTTTACAGTTAAACTTTAAGTTTCTGTTGAACCATTTTGTCAAGGTTTTATATATAAAACTACATTGCAGAGGAGCACTTTTATAGTGACAGTTTTATAGTAGAGGTTGGGTGATGAAAAAGATGCATACGTTGGGTTTATGCCTCAAACTCATTCTAGTGGGCACTGTTCTTGTTGTTCAGACAACAGCAGCACAAACACACAACACAAGAACAGTATGCCAGGGGTTACAGACACGAAAATATAGATAGATTTTGAGCATCAACCAGTCCGTCAACCATTTTTCCGAATTAATCATCAGCTGTCCGGTCCACTAAATGGTAAAGAATGCTGATACGACATTCCGACCACTGACATAGCAGACCCGGTGGTCCCTGTTAACATTTCTGTCGTTTAGCTATGATCACAATATTTCTTCAGCCTTTACCAAAAAAAAAAAAAGGCAAAACACACATATTAACATATTAATGTAACTTGCAGCAGATGTGTTTTTTCTGCATAATACACTCATAATACAGACATTAAGGACCATGCAGTTTGGACAAACAAGTATTATAACCATCACCACCAAATGAAATAAGCAAATAAAGTGGCAAACAGAAGCTTGTTGCATGGACTGCTAAATATGATGAGAGCAGTGTTTACTTTGCCAGCATCTATATTCTGTTCTGCAGACCACAGAGATTTGGGTCTGGTTATTTTAGAGGACACTGCCATTGTGGATGTGACAAGCAGTATAGCAGCTCTTACAGACTTCAAAGGGACTATTCCCTCTACAGCCGATGGCTGATGACAGTGGTGGGCACTTTTTTTGGACTACTTGGTCAGTGGCACATAAATAATGGTAATACAAGGTACCAGGATGGACACTGCTGTGATTTTGTAACAAAAATAAGTACATGAGGTGATATGAGACATCCAATAATGGCAGTTCCATCACTATTCTATTCTTCATGCCTTCTGTCTAAATTCTATGTATGCTTTCAGTTGCTTTTTCGCTATATATAGTGAATAATTACGGAGCTTTCCTCATGTTTCTGTGAG